GGCCACTCGAATGGTCTTAAGATGTCTTGAGTGGTCTCTACACTTTTCCACCGAATTGAATCTTTTTCTCATTCTAGTGTCAACTACCTTACCACTATTCTCTAATGCCTTGAGCGGTGCTTTGCAAATTTAGATTTTCTTGGTCCCCAAGTCTATTTGAGTTCCGAGGATATAAATAAGGTAAGCTTCTCTAGCCTAGGGTAACTCTTAAGAACTCTAAAATTCAGCCTCCTACATCTTAAAAGAGCCAAGAATAGCCTTAGATCCCTAAGATCCAAAGACCAAACCATCTTGATACTTCCTATTCAACCTCATAAATTGAAGAAGAATATCTTTCTTGGTGATCCACTTAAACCACATCGGTTGTTTTCATAGCGAGATCCATGGTACGTCCTAGAAGATTGCTCGAGATCAAGATGGTTCATTGCAATGAGCTCATCCAAGTGAAACTACTTAGGACTTTGGTGGGTGTATCTGAAGGATAGATTGACAAGGAAAGAAGCATCTAATCATGAGTGTATTGATTAAGGTGTAAGACTTGAATCCTTGTGCTATGGATGTTCTTATTGTAGCTTTAATTTTGCACTCACACACACAAACTTGTAATTACACACAAAATGTGTTTGATTAATTTACACTTACATTATATTATTCAACTGATTCATCATTGTGGTTAAGGTTTGGTGGAGTTGGCCTGTTGGAGGGATTATTCTTGTGGATTGGATTGTTTAGGCTTGTTGAGAAACAAACACATTGCATTCATTCATAGGGCGGGTGGTTCTTGATTTGGGGAATAGGAGTTCAAAAGTTTAATTGACCAATTAATAACTTAATTTAGTAATTGAGGGTAATAGGTTATAAATCATATGGGAAGGTTCTTACATTAGGAAATTCCATTTAGCATAAATTTCCCCCCATTAGAAGTAGAGGTTTTTATTTTTCAGCTTTAAGATATTTTTAGTATCCCACATTTGGGCATTCTTAGCTAAGGTATCAAAATAATCGAATGTCTCCTTAAGAGATTTGCTGAAGAGTTATCCATTACACATTATTTCCACAAATTATCGCAACTAAGGTGGTAATGCTTCCTAAAAGAAACTCACCAATCTCCACTCCTTGAATGCATGATGGGGACAAGAAGTGGTCAACTCCTTAAAACAATTCCATCATTGGTAGATAGTATCCCCATCTTCATGGTAACATTAATTAGGAATTCTATTTTTAAAGATGGCCAAGATCGAATTAACCAAGGCTTCAAATAATTGATCCATAACTTGGCTTTATCCTTTAGTTAGAATGGGAACAACTTCATCCTAACATGTCATTAGTTACTGTAGTTTCTATTAAAGTGCTGCACACTTATTCAAACTCATTCATGTGGAGGTATGGATTCTTAAACTCCATACTGTGAAACTATGGCAATAGTTGAATATGTTGGCCCAAAAGCAACCTAAGAGCGGGGTTGAATTTGGTTTTCTTCTAGTATGACTTAATTAAAATTCAATTTTAATATTTGTAAAAAAAATTTCTCTAGATGTAAATGTGTGACCAATAATTATGCAATCAGTGCGAATATGAACAATCAATATGCATGAGATTGAGAGAGAGAAGAGCAAACACAATATTTATAGAGGTTTGGACTCCAACACACTTGGCTTATGTGTGACACCCCAAAATCTGGGGGTCTTTTCTTAATTCGTTGATTGTCTATCAATCAGTGGAATACTTGTTGATACCGTATATCCCGATAACATGTCTTTACACCCCATTCTCCAGGATTATAACTAAACTAAATTTGGGTAGAGTCACATTTGCAAGGGAGCACTACCTAATACATAACCTGTGCATATATTATTCATACGACCATTCTAAGGTCCATATCCAAAAGTCTAGGACTTAAACTTTTACCATATATATGATCTAAAGACAAGAGTTCAAGATATGAAGGCTCAAAATTACTGAAGTTCAAAAATCACTTTTCAAGAAGAGGTACCAGTACCTCTATTAAGGAGTACTGGTACCTGAGCCTTCTGGAAGTGAGGTACCAATACCTACAAGACTTGGTACCGGTACTTGGGCCCACTGTCATTAGGGTATCGGTACTTGTGAGCATAGGTACCAATACCTAGAGCCTAGATTTTTCCAAATTTCTTAAATTTCAACTTTTCACACTACAAACTTATACAACATCCATTACATTCATTTGTTTACAAAAAAATAATGTCCAAGAGATTCCAATTACATGCCTTTGTCAAAGTACAAATTTTGTACATAATTTATACAAGGCCAATATAGAAATATACAAGGGACAACAAAATGTAATTCAAGAGCCACCACTCCGTTCTGTCGTCAACACGGGCCCAAGTGAGAGCCGTCCATTGGAGCCTATCCAACACCTAAAATGCATCTCCATAAAGGGTGAGCCACACTCAATAGGGTATTTCTTAAAGATGTCACTCCCCAACCCAGATACATATGAAATGTTGTATACAAGTCATCATATCACTCATCCATTCAAACACATCCTTTTCATAAATGAATGTTACAATTCCATGTTATGCCATGAGATGGAAACTCATGCATGCAATGCAAACCTGAGCCCCATCGGCTTCCATAACACTATTTCTGCCATGCGTATGCATCAGAGCATTCCAAGCCCTATCCATTGATGTTAGACATCCAATGACTATTTTATAAAATCTTGTCTTTCTTGGGTAGATAAGTTACAGACATCACACTAACGGTCTAGCAAACTGACACGGCACTTGAGGGCATCACACCTCTGGTTTCGAGTACACTGGCATACTTTTTTAGAATTTCACCACCGGTCAAGTGAGTGAACCAAGTAACCAGACCTTGCACTCGAGGGAGAATCTATCCCTTCTTGCTATACCCGACACGTATTTGTAATGCAACCTCTGTGACTTAATCGAACTTAAGTCCAACTTTCTCAAGCCCATGTATCAACCCATCAAGGATGGTGTTTGATTAAAAATATACACACACACCCACATTCTTGTCGGATGCACATGAATGTGATGCTACCCATGCATATGCAATTAAATTTTATAATCACAATTCATATTTCATCATATAGTAAGACATATAATGAACATATCCATTTTTCACAAAAATTTTCCAATATGTCACATGCGATATCAATCCAATTTACATACTTGAATTCCTAAGTATTTTATCAAACACTTAGTAGGAAAAATTATGTAAACACATAGGATGCACAAACAATACATTATTCAAAACCCAATTCAAGCAATTTCATCAAACCCAATTCGAAAAAAAAATGGTTTTAACATATTCTCACACTCATTTTTCATATTCTAGATACACTAGGTGTGTGATATACATGAAAATTCATCTCTATCAACCTACCCATTTCATATCTAAACCCTAGGTTGGAAATAAACCTAGATAGGAGAGAACCCCACCTCTTGTAGCATATGCCCACATAGTAGGATCCTCAAAAAATCCAATTTAAGCCTTCCAAGCCTTAGTGCAAATTTCCCATCTTTGAGATCTTTGGAGAAAGCACGGTCTTTAGTATGGTTGCATAGCTCTCATCACGTAGAGCAGTTTTAACTTTTGGCTTGAAGCGATCTAACAGTTGGGACTTGGCGGATCAAGGGAAAAAGTTGGAATAACTTTGAGATTTTCTCTCTCTCTCTCTCTCTTAGAAATGGCTGGCTAAATAATGGGGAAAATCTAATATTTCCCCCTTTTAAATACTCCTTAAATGCTTGGCCCTCATTCTGGCACACGTCCCTCTTTAATTGGTCTAATTTTATTTCGAATCAATTAAATCTCACCCTGTGTAAAGTTTAGTATATTTTTATTGAACTAACTTTAAATTATTCTTCAAATTCAGTGAATAAAATTTGATCGTGTTTAATTTAGTCGCGTGACACTCAATTGCATCGTAAAAAGTGAAAATCCGACTGTTTCAAAATTCAACGAAAATTGACTAGATAGCTAGATTTTCCGATATGAATCCAATGGTGAGGTCCATTTCTTCATTTGAGTTCTTAAAAAAAATTTAAATTTTTAACCCGTACTGTAATGGCTAATTACCATTTTATATTGTTTAATTAAATTTTAATTTTTTTGGGTTTTACACTACATCCTCTCTTCTTCCTCTCCTTGGAGTTTCCTTTAACTTGTTTGAATCTTTTCAATAGGTGAGAGTTAAAACCCTTTACAATCTTCTTGATACAAGGATATCAATCTTTCTTGGCTCACTTCAAGAAGTACAACAAGCTCACTCTCTCTTGCTAGATATTTTTCTCACTTAAGACAAACAAAGATCAAAGCACTAGAGAGAGAACAAAGAAAATCAAACCTTTTTCTATAATCTTTAATATGATGAAGAAAAAATGCAGAAAACTCTCTCTTTTTGTTTTACTTCAAAGTCAAGATTCTCAAAAGTTGTACTTGAAAGCTCACAAGACCTTATTTATAGTTTAGGTATCTTAAATGAGGAAATGGATGACTTGTCACAAAGACAATCAACTTTTGGCGTAGCTTTCAGAAGTTCATCCAGTATACCGGATAGGCTATTAAATGTAGCCGTTCTAGCCCAACGGTCACATCTGACATACCGGATGTAGCCATTGCAGCACAACAGTCACCTCAAACTTCGTATTTGACTTCATTCCACCATGATCCTTCAAATTCCAAAGAGTTTTTGAAGGTTTGTCGATTCATCATTCGGTAGGCTGGTTCATAGTGTCCGGTAGACTATGATTTCAGCATACTAGATAAACATTTCGGCATACTATTATATACTTTCGTATGCCTCAACCAGGATACTGGTAGTCTTTTGGATGTATTGTCCCTTTGCTTGATTCCTTCTTTATCTGGCATACCAGATATGCCTTTCAGATGCATTGTCCAGTATACTCTCCAGGCTTTTATTCTTTTTCTCTGTTCTTCCTTTTCTTTCTTTGGGTGAACACCTACACTTCATCCACACACTAATGAACACATTAGTCCATATTAGGATGTTTATTATCATCGAAATCATGCTTAACAAAGCATTGGATCAACAAAATAGACCCTAGCTTGATCGCGACGACATTGATTTTGGTGGGAAAGGCAAAGTACGATAGGGTACTACTCCAAGTAGGTTGGAGATGCTCTTGTAGTGGCCTCCCCACGATCTGTGGCTGCCTGAATCTATTGTCTACCATTTCTTCCTCCAGCTTAGTTTCTACTACAAAGGTGAGCTTCTTAATTTTCCAAGGTGTGGTTGCCTGAAACACTTGGGCTCCTCCTATATCAGAAGTTTGTGTGGATTCCCCCAAAGCTGTAGTGATGTCTCCTTAAATTAAACATCAATTATGGAGGAGCGTCCAATCGATCATGCACCAGTAACCTAGATAGACAAGAAACAAGCAATAATCAAAGATAAAAGAAAAGAAAAAAAAAAGAAATTAATAAAACTAAAGGAAAAAGAAAAGAAACATGGAATGAGTTACCCAAAAAACATTCGAGTAAAATTGCAAGTTATTTGTGAATTCCTCCTTTAAACACTTAAGACATGTTTTTAGACACCTTCTTTGTGATTTTCCCAACAACGGCATCAAAAACTTGCTTGTTATAAAATATTGGTTCACCCAAGTGCAGGTGGTCAAGAAGAAATAATTTTTTAGTAAGTTCGAGATCGAACCACAAGCAATCAGAATAGGCTAATCAAAGCCAAGGGTATAGAAAAAGGAATTTATTTTGAACAATTTAAAAGTAAGGAATAATGAAAATTTTAAAGAGAAATCAATTAATTAAAACCAACATCTAGTTTTGGGATATCTCTTATCGATCACAATTATTGCATTCCCAAGAATTAATGCACATAGTTTACTCAATTAAAACCCATCGTCAGTATGAATCAATTGAAAGATTTATAATTAAAAAAAAAGTGCTACTGATTGGATTTCAACAACAATTAGATCTAGACCGAAAATTTGTAAGGAATTTGATTTACTTGATTTAAATCATACGCCAAAGTATAAGTGGTCAAATTATAATATTTATTGGTTAAGTCTGAGGTCAAACCCACGGGGAGCTACCTGTTGGTATTAAAAATAGAAAAAGATAAGATTGTCATGTGTGTTGTATTCAATGAAATAGCTTGAGGTGTGAGCTTAGAATTATCAAATAAATATTTAACTAAACTTTGAATAACAATAAATAAAAGATACTCTTCAGTTCGGGGATCTAACATGCATTATATTATTTGTTTATGAAAATGTCACCTTACAACAATTAACTCTTATTATACTGAAAATTTAACCGATAGGTTTGATGTATAGCTGAACCATATCACTGCAACTAATTAGGCTAGCTAGAAAGTCTATGTACCATGCAACAACCAAATAACCCTAGTAAACCTGAAGGTGAACCATTCAAAAGGTTTACTCTAACTATTTAACTGACAAGTTGATGATTTAGTGATGATGGAATTCTGACTGTTACATAAAACCCAATTGCATGCATCATTAAATCATGCATGAAGTACGTAATAACTTATAGATAAAATGGTATAGAACAATAAGCTTTGCTCAATGTTGATAATCATGAGCATATTTTTTTTTGGGAGGGGGAGGGGGGAAGGAGGCTTGAACCCCTGGGCTCAAAAAGACAAAGTCTTCAGGAGGCAAGGAATATCATTGGACCAAATGCTTATTGGTACATAACCATGAGCATATTATAATAATAATCATCCATCAATTAAGGGAGGTATAAACATTAACGCATAAATAAAACATCGACATTTCATAACTTAAACAAATTAAACATGCATTCACCCTTCTCCAAAGAGTATAAACGGACTACTCACAATTTATTGTTATAGATGAGCAAGAAAAATGAGATGATCTCATTATAACATAATATTAAATACAACAAGTCCTTCACCAAGGAATAGTTGAAACACTGTCACTCTTATTACTAGGTAGGGCACAAAAGTGAGAGTTGTTCAACCCTCTAAGTAGAAAGGATAAACGGAAAAGTAGAAGTGAGAAAATTTTGATTGGAAACTGATTAGGGTAAGGCTTTGCTCTTTTTGGCTGTAAAACACTCTCTGAAGTCTCTCACTTTCTTTCCCCTTCCTTTGTTTCTCTCATTCTCTAAACTGGATTGAACTCTTTGAAAATTGAACTGAATAGGGATATTTATAGGCACCAGAAAGGGGGTTAGAGATAGCAAACACCCAGGCTAGCCAATAAGATGAGTTTGTTGCTTTTCTAGACCAATAAGAGAAGAACGAGGAGAAAGGCGGTTGAAATATCATCCAGACACCACCACCACCGTCTGGATACTGAGGATTCTCTGGTTTTTTTTGTTGCTAGCCTTTCTTTGTTGACTCTTTGACTTGTGAATTACACTTGCCTCCCTTGCAATAAAAATTGAACAATTAAAGTAATTGAACAAAATAAGTTCCAGCTCGATGCATGATACTTTCAACCTAAACTTCCAGCTCAATTTTGACATAGTTAGAGATTAATTGACAAAAATTTCATGAGATACACTTTTGTAAAGTTTGAAGTTTCAATACAACAAGAATTTGAATGACCTTAGAACACTTGATATTCACCTTGGATCACCAATATCTCAATGATTAATCATTCTTCCTTTCCAATGGCAGAATCGTTCAAGTTGTCCATTGTTCAACTTGCATGCAGAATCAACACGAGTTCAGATGGCTTTCTTTATGGTTTTTATGACTATTTGACTATCCACCATCAACCCACTATAAATAGATCGTTGGGGATAGTGGAAAGTGAATTTTTTTCGGTTGAAGTCCTCTTCGGGTCTTTTGTAGAAGCAAAGGTAAGGCAAGAACTTAGGTTGATTCGCCTAAGAATAATCCCTTTTGCGCAGGGCTCTTTCGTTTAAGACTTGACTCAACTCTTCCCAACTTAGAGGAAGCCTCACTACAACAAAAAGCATTTTTTGTAACGATTTTAAATTTGTCGCAAAAAGTTTACTATTCGCGACGATTTTATAATTTTGTCGCAAATTTCTCTTTTGACAATTTTTTTTGCGACGTTTTTAAAAAAACGTCGCGAAAAGACGATTCCCTCCTAATTGTTTTTGGCAGGGAGAAATGGCGGGAATTTGCAATTTTTTACGACAAAATTTTTTTCTCAAATAATTTTATCTCGTCAAAAAAATAAATAATCTAAAATTTAAGGTAAAATAAAGTCTAAATTTCTATTTTGGCAATTTTTTGCGACGTTTTTAAAAGTCGCGAAAAGGCAATTCCTTCCAATTTGTTTTTGGTAGGACAAACGGCGGGATTTGATGAATTAAATAAAAAAATAATTTAATTAATTGTTCGTAACGTATTTAAAAAAATGTCGCAAATACATTTTTTCGAAAAAAAAATTATTTAATTAATTTTTCACAACGTTTTCAAAAAACCGTCGCCAATAAATTTTTTTGTAAACAAAAAATTTTAAAAATTACGACGTTTTTATTTTCGTCGCAGAATATAAATTACAACCACATTTAAAGTTAAAATAAAAATATAAATACTAAATTGAGACGTTTTATTATGTTCGTCACAAAAAATATTTTCAAAATTTATTGCGATGTTTTTATTTTTGTAGTAGAATATAAATTAAAACCACATTTAAATTTAAGATAAAATAAAAATATTAAATTGCTACGTTTTATTATTAACGTCACAAAAATATTTTCGAAATTGATGACGACGGCTTTATTTTCATCGCAGAATATAAATTATATTTAAAGTTAAAATAAAATAAAGTGGTATAACGGATGAGATAGAAATATAAAGTCAAATTATAGTCATTTGTTATATTCACCATCTCTCGCTTTTTATGCACAATCCATTAATTGGATCCTTACTGGTACATTCACAATATCTAAATAAAAAGTAGTTTACAATTCAAATATCAAAAGATAAATAGAATGATTTATACTATTTACGGTTGAGATCACTTTAAATTTTACTTTAAAATAAATCTAATGGCTAGTATTAACACCCTAAATTTAATAAGAAAAATAAAGTATTAAGGGTGTGATTGGAATGACTTTGTAAAAATACTTCTACAAATTATTTTTTATAAGTACTTTAAAAAAATAATGTTTAAAACCGCCCCACCACCACCTCTACCACCATCACCACCATCGTCGCCGCCACCACCACCCCCACTGCCACTGTCGCTACCACCGCCACCATCATAACCACCACCACCACCGTCGCCACAAATACTGGAGATAATTATAAATAATTAGGTCAGCAAATAATATTTAAGTAGCATTGTTCTTGTTTATATTTGATTGGTAATGAACTTTATTGAACTAGTATTATAGAAATAAAAATGTGCACTTATTTGTAACTATTTATTAAGCACTGGCATTATTATTGTTTAAAAAATATATTTTTATTTACTATTATTATTATTATTTTGTTTATTAAAGTTAATTTTTAATTTGTAAAAAAATGAGTATGAATTCAATTAAGTGAAAATAGAATATTAGAGTTAAATTGTTTTATCTAAAGTTTATTTAAAGTGGACTATCTGTGACGATTTCATAATTTTGTCGCAAATTTAATTTTTGGCAATTTTTTTTGTGACGTTTTTTAAAAACGTCACAAAAAGGTGATTCCCTCCCAATTTTTTTTGGCGCTAGAAATGGCACGAATTTATATTTTTTTACGATAAATTTTTTTTGTCGCAGATAGTTTGAATTCGTCAAAAAAAAATAATCTAAAATTAAAATAAAATCAAAATATTTAATTCGCGATGTTTTATGTTTTTCGTAGCAGAATATAAATTTTAGTTATTAATGTAAAATAAAATAAAAAATGAATTCGCGACATTTTTGTATGTTCGTCGCGAAACTAAAATAAAACGATGTCGTTTAGAGTATTTAACACATTTTCCTAAAGTACTTTCTCAGCGCCACTCTCTCTCTCTCCATCTCCTCGCCATCTCTCTTCTCTCTCTATCTCTCTCTCTATCTCGAGTTCTATTGTGCTGAATTGAGATCGGA